TTTTCTTGGGATCAGTATCTGGTAGGAACTCACAGCATTCACACCCCTTGTGCCAGAGGTACTTTTACCCTTTTCCTTCAGAAACTGGTGGAACCATGTACCCACTGGTACCCACTAATCTAACGTATAGGACCCTAAGAACCTTGGACCCACGTGGACCTTTGAGCCATGATCACCGTGTTACCTACTTCTCTATGGCCCTAGACCTTGCCTTCCTAGGGACTGTGAAGAGTTCTGAGTGCATCTGCCTAACCAATGTCTTGTGTAGTCAGAAGGCTTAGATTCCATTTCTGGTTCTACCCTTGGCTTGTTTTCAAGCAAGTCCTTTTTCTTCTCTGGGTCTCAGTGTCATCTTCTATGTAGGGGGTAATGACTACTCAGACCCACCTTCTTCCCAGGTTACTCTCTTGGTGCTCTCTAAGCTGGGATAAGGTGTCATAGAAATGTGTAGCTGTCTTCCTATGTGGCACCGGAGAGCTCAAATGGTGGCATTGGGCTTTGGTCTTTTATGAAAATGGTCCTGGACCCTGCTACATCTGTACTGATGTGTCTTAAAGTCATAGGGCTAGGACCAGCCATAGGCTAGAGGACACAACAACCAAATGCGTGTATGCAAACTATGTGTGTGCCTGCAGGAGACTGGAGCCCTCAGTAGGAATGAGTGTCCCGTTCCCCTCTGCTTCAGTTAGCCATGGGGTACAGACAGCACTCAGGATTGCTGCTGAGTCATACGTGAGGCTAAGTAGCCAAGCTGACAGTCTGTCTGCTAGGGGTGTCCAACCTGCAGCCACATGCGGCCCAGGATGGCTATGAATGAAGCCCAACACAAAACTGTAAATTTACTTAAAACTTTTTTTTTTTTTTTTTTTTGCTCATCAGTTTTTGTTAGTGTTTGTATATTTAATGTGTGACTCAAGACAACTCTTCTTCCAGTGTGGCCCAGAGATGCTGAAAGGTTGGACACCCCTGAATCTATCCTCAGTATGGCCCCTCTGGTATAGTTCAACCCCCAACAGAAGCAGGCAGAATTCTACTGAGCTAGACCCTTACTACCTGGGTAGAAATGTCTTCATGGAACATTTGAAATCTTGCAAAAGAGGGAGCTTCCTTCTTCCCCAGGGCTAGCCATAGCCAATGAGATTCCCGGCCTGTGTCAACCAAAAGACTCAGGATGCTGGGACTGGCTGAAGAAGAAGAATTCGATAGGTACCCCAGGACCTCTGCCTTTTGCTGGCCAGTCCCCCTGACTCGGTCCTTTGTATTGGGTTGGCCAAAAAATTCCTTTGGTTTTTTTCTGTAATAAAAGACACATTTTTTATTTTCACCAATAACTTTATTGAGCTGGGTATTTTGAGTATGTTGGCTCTCTCCTACATGGTATAATGTTGATTGTTCTCAATTAATGTCTCGATTTGATCACTATCAACTTCAACTGGCCTACCCAACTGTAGAGCATTGTCCAGTGAAAAATCTCCAGCACGAAACTTCACAAACCACTTTTGACACATTCGATCACCTTCTCCATACACCACGCAAATTTTTTGTTGTGTTTCAGTTGCATCTTTACCTTTCTTGAAATAATAAAGCATAGTATGCCGAAAATGTTGCTTGTTTTCTTCCATCGTCAATATTAAAATGGCCACACAAAAATTCACCAATTTTGATAAGTGTTTTTAAACATGATATGACAGCTGTTGCAATACAATCTAACAAAAATTGTTTCACATGAAGTTAAAGATAACTGAGTGCTCCTAGAGCCATCTTACAGAAAAAACAAAACAAACTTTTTGGCTGACCCAGTACATTCTGCTGCTTCCAATGGCTCCCTTCATTCACAGTCCTTAATGTGATTTTTCAAAAATAGCTGAGCTCAGCAAGCATTTTAACAAATACTAAGGATAGGAAACATGAAGGAAAAATTGAAGGAAATAAGAAAATTATTCAGACATTACAGTTCTGCTTCTTAGGCAACCACATTCTATCTCCTAAGACTGCCTTTTCCTTCAAACCTTGCCTGATTTCCATGTATCCTTCGTCCTTGGTTCCCACGTAGACCCATTCTACCTAGATACCCTTTCATCATCTTGGCCTCAGCCAGAATTTCCCTTGCAGGAAACTGGTTGTGGTTAATGTCACTGTGCCACCTGGATGTTTGAGAAGAACCTACCATTCAGGTAAGTTATCACAGGTCTTACAAAAGGAAATCCTTACTCTACTGCTTGACACGTGGGATCGACTTCTTATCAGTGTCTGTCAAATAACTGAAGAGTAATGGAGGGAAGGCTGAACTGCCCTGAAACTTTCTGGGGAGGGATACGTCATCTCAAGTAGATCCTCTTTGCCAAGCTTCCTAAAAAAAGGAGTTTGCACGTGGAGTCTCCACTTTATTTTCTCTTAAACACGTTGGAGGCTACCTTCTGTTCTCACCAGCCACTGACTCTGAGTCCATTGGGTCTTTCTCAAGCTCTCATCTTGCTTGACCACTCGATGGCATTTGACACTAATGACCTGCATTTTAAGCTCAAAAATCAGTTATATCCAGGGTGGGGCAAAATAGGTTTATAGTTGTGAGAACATGAAACAGAGCTTATTCTTTTATAATTTATTAATTATTGTATTATTTTCCACATACACAACTGTAAACTACTTTTGTCCCACCCTACGTAGGGGCCCAGAAAGGGGAAGTTTGCTTTGCTGTAGTTTAGGTCGACCACAAGTGACATGAGATGGGGTCAATAGAGCATGTGTGACTTTGGGTAACCAATACTCTGAAAAAGATCCAGGAGTCCTGCCCTCTAGGAATGGAGGCAGGATGGGTAAATCCTGACTCATGGTACACTATCTCCTGTGGACTTTTTTTTTTTTTTTCAGTTTAAAGTGAAAGTGAGTATAAGCGAAGCAGTGAGACAGGGAATGGCCTGCTCCACAGGCAGAGCAGTCTCCTGTGGGACTCTTGAAGGGGCCAAGGGTGTGTGACCTGGAGAACGGTACTCTCGGGGAAGCTTCCTGGTCTCTCGGACCTGGGGGAGCATTCTGCAAGGAAGAGATGGAAGTCTCACTCTCTGTAGTTTCTAAAGACATACCTCAGGGTGGAAGTTACAAGGAAACAATAATATTCATAGTTCAGTATTAAGGAAGGATGGTTTAAGAATCGAAGGAGTCCAACATTAGAGCTGACTGCTACATGCAGCAGTGAGTTCCTTGTGTGTAGTAATAGTCTGGTGTCATTTTAGCTCAATAAAACTTACAAGACATGGGCCCTCTGCTCCTCTCATTTCATTCTCTTCCCAAGTGATCTTAATCTATTCTCATGGCTTTAATTTTACTTAAATTACACTAATGATTCAGCATTTTGTATTTTCACACTTCTTTTTAAAACTGGATATCCAACTGTCTCTTAGATATCATCCCACTGCTGAATGTCTCCTGGGCACCTCGCGCTCAACGGATAGTATTTACCATGTGTCAGGCCTCTGCTAAAGCTGCGTTCCCAAACTTTTGCCTCCGTCTAGTGTGTCCTAGGGGTAAGGCAGTGGGAGCAGTCCACCCTGGTTTGGGCAGAAAGAGGATACACTGTATGTAGAAAGTTTAAAAACAATCATATGGTTGACTAAATGTTGGCCTGCTCTGGGTGTCAAATATGCTCTCTCTGCCCTTTCTCCTTTTTTGATATCTGTCTCAGTGCACTCAAGAAGCTAACCAAGGCGCGAATCTTTGAATTGGATGGGCTCTACTGCTTTCTCTCATTGAGCTCCACATTCCCTTCAGTCCTCCTTTCTATCTCCAACATCTGTCGTGTGCTCACTCTTCTCTTTGACTATTGTCTAGTCTCCTGCTAGATACTATCCAGCTTTTTCTAGTGTCAGGAAACTGGTTTTGGTCCTGACACTAAACTGGTCAGGAAACTGGTCCTGGTTTTTAGTGAAAAAAAAAAAAAAATACATATATATATATATATATGTATTTTTTTTTTTTTTGGCCTTGAAACAATCATTGTAAACCACAACTCTTCAAAGCCTCTCTATTACCTGTGGTTAAGCTCTTCTCTCAGCAAGAAAATGCTGTGATCTTCCCTAGCTGATATTTCTAGTGTCTTCCTCCATCCTTCCATGTACCTTGTGCTCCAACTTAAGGCTATTTTTGTCTACTTTTATTGTCCATTCCACTGAACAAACTGTGAGCCCCTTATGGGCAGGAGTTGTCTTACTTTTTGAGTCCTAAGTTTAGCCTGACTCATTGTAAACATCAGTGAATGTTTGGGTGAATGGATCTGTGTGGGTAAAATGACATCATCGGCTAGAAGGGGAGACAGTTATAAATCTTAATTTAAAGAAAAAACAGTAACAGACTCTTGGCTTAAATTTTGACCTCTTCTCATCCTTTTGTATGGCCTCCTCTCTATCTGCAGAAAGCCTATTGCTGGAGACTTAAATGTGAATGGAAGTCCAAGCCCAGCTATCTCTAAATCATGTTCTCTTCCTCTCTCTCTTCCTTTAGTCTTATATTTCTGCCTCTGCTCTAAGAAAACAACAAGCTAGAGCACTGGAGAGAACGTAGGCTTTGGAGTGAGACAGACCTGGGTTCAGTTCTTGGCACTGTCATTTTTTTAAGCTGTGGGATCTTAGTTACCCCTCTGAATCTCCTTTTTTCATCTGTAAAACATAGGCCACAGTACCTACCTCACAGCACCATTCTGAAGAATAATGTGAAAATATAAATAAGATATTTAGCATATTGTAGGCCATCAGAAAATAATAGCTGCTGATATTATTTTGAATAGTCTTCAGGTTTTCACATTTGGACCTGAGGGCTGGATCTGGAGCCCAGTGTCCATGGTGCTGGAGATGGGGTGCGTTTCTTGGGTGGCGTGGGACCCATGGGTAATGTGTTGGCCTTTTGAGGTCTATTTGTCTATAGACTCTATGTTGGACTTCCTAGCTCACGACTCCATACCTGGGACTTGGGTGTGCCCAACTTGTTCTCTCTTCCCTTTTTTATAGGCTCCCAGGCCAGTGCCAGTACTTGGGCTTGCCAGTGGCAGATTACTTCAAGCAATGGATTAATCTGAAAAAGGTACTGTGTCTGAGCCCCACTTGGGTGCTTCATCTGGTTCTCCTGTGCCTCAGATCTCCCCTCCCTTGCTTTCTTTTCTCATTTCTGTTCTTTTCTTTTTGTTGTTTTCATCTCTCCTTTTCTTTTTGTTCTTCACTTGTCTCAACACCTCTCTCTCCTTTCCCCTAGCTTATGTGCACTGGAAGATTGTGGCCATTTCTGGGAGTGGGGAGCTGGTTGGGGACCAGGCTGCTGAGTGGAGTGTGACACTATGACACTTCCCTACTTGGTATCACCCAGATGTGCAGAGAAGTTCCAATTAAAGAGATTTTCCAGGATCTTACTCAGAGATGAATCTCTGAGCTGAGCTGCATTGCCTCTAGGAGAGATGTGCTAGGAGCCTCTGGGGCAGTATCCTCCTTTGATATGATTGTGAGTGTGGCCTCTGACCCTCCTGACTGACCCTAGTGTCTTCCTCTGGTTGGGAGGTAGAGTTGATTCAGGCTGGCTTTAGCGCTGCTTAGACACAGCATAGCCTCACTCACATGACAAGAGCCACGGGAACTACAGCCCAATTTCCTTTGAGCATGAGAGAGGAGACTAGCATCAGGGTAGCACCCAGCACCTTGGGCATGGACTGAGACTGTGGGCTGGGAGGGACCCCATGTAGCTAGGAAAGTGGGCACTGGCAGAGAATGAATCACTCAGAAAACTCCTCTCCTAGTGTGTGCTGTACTTCCTAGGTAAGCAGAAGAAAGGAATAGTAGGGGTAGATACTCTAGATCCCTGCTTTAGTGGGATCTTGCTCCAGGAGGCCTGGTCCTCTTGGGGGGCTCATCCCCATAAATCTGTCTGATGTACGAGCAAAAGCCCTGGGGCAGCCTCAGGAACCCCATGCCACCTGTCAGCAGTGACTCCCAGGAAGCTCAGAGAAGGGAGAACATACTAGGGGTCAGAGTAGTGGCTCCCAGGGGGCTCAGAGAGGAGAGCTTATTGGAGGCTTATGCTGGGATTGTAAGGATTTGGGTCTTGAACTGGGCATATTCAAGGGAGGTGAGAAATGGATCGGAGGAGGACAGGCTTTCTAGGCAGGGGGGAGCAGTATGCTTTTGGTGTGTAGGGGGCTGGGGCTAAGCAAGCTTGGAAAGGAACGGAAATGGGGGGAATGGGAGAGAATGACTTGAATTTTGTTCCATAGATCTCAGGGCAGCCATTATTTGAGGCAACATTTGTGAACTCCCTTACTTCCCTATGGTACGCAGGTCCTCTGCACTCTGGTTTGTTTGTACTTTGACCCCTACCCACCTCTCCTGTCTCTTGTGCACCCAAACAACAGCTACTTACTATCTGCCATCTTTGGCTGAGGAGGCCAGCCAGGCTCTGTGCTACCTCTGGCCCTTGGCCTGCTACCTTACTTCTCTCTGAAGTGCCCCGCAGTCATCTTCATTGGGCATATTTCCCCTCCTTGAAGATTCAGCACAGTTATCACCCCTGCTGAGAAGCTTAGCCAGCCAGTCTCTTGCCTTGAGGCCCCTTGATACTTTGGATCTTAAGAATGTTGAAGCCGAGTCCGTGCGTGTGTGCTTCCTTGCAGACATGTCTGCCTGGAGCACAGAGACTGAGTCTGGTTCCTTCTGTGTGCCCAGTGGCCAGATCAGGTCAGGGTACAGAGTGTGTGCTCTGTGAATGATTGCTGGCTGGCTGACTAGTCTTGGAGAGCTGGCTCGTAGAGGCCCTCTCATGTGGGACTTGACAGGATTGCGTGTGTGGGTGTGGCCAGGCCTGCGCTCCGGGAAGACGGCCCTGCCAGCTGTCAGAGCTCATCTGAGGCTGCTTGCTGGCCTCAGCAAATGCAATGTGAAGGCCCGGCCAGGCGAGGCAGGCAATGACCATGAACAGTTGCTCTGTGAAGTTCAATAGACTTTTTGGTTTACAGATAGCTCCCTGCCTCTCGGTTTCTTGGCAGAAAGGCAGGAAAGCAGCCAACCCATGTGGTAACATTGCCAGTCAGGGCTACCTTCGTGCCGCTGAGGGGGTAGAGGAGGGCTGCCCTGAGCCTGTTCAGTTTGGTTCTCTGTCAGACTGTGCTGAGCCATAGAGGAGGAATGGGCAGGAGGGAAAACTCAGGACTCTATTCCCAGCTGGTCTTATGATTGCCTGTTGGGAGGTAAACTTAGCAAGTCTAGGAAAAACAAGAGTTCTAACCCCTTCCTTTCTGCCTTCCAGCCACATTATGTTTCAGCTTTGCTTCAGTCCTTGCCAGCAGCCATTCAAATTAGGGAAGCTGCAGGGACGTGGAGGTCCAAGGGCATGGTGATCTTTCTCACCTTTGTACCGCAGGACTTAGTGCAGGCTGCACAAAGATCCTGCTTCTTTAAAAAGAGTGACAGTAAAAGCAAAGCCAGAGAGGTCATTGCCAGGGTTGTGGGAATATTATGCAAAAACCTTACTCTGTGCCTTTTTTCTGCATATGTGACCCCGACTCTGACTATCTACATGGTCCTCTCCTGCCCTTGCTCTTACTTTGTTCCTCCTTCCTTTCCTTACTCCCCTCCTCCTTAACTTTCCTACCGAGTTTTGCCCTATGAAAAAAATCAGGAAGGTTCTGGTCTGCTTGGCCACCTAGATCTGCCTAGTAAGCGATCAACTTGGACTGAATTCACCATCCTCATGTCCTAAGGCCTCTAATCTGAGCAGAGGCAAAATGTTATCTTTCAGCTGCTCTCCTGTCCAGAAGTGGTGTGGGTTGCATCAGGAAAGAGCATCTTTTCAATGACCAGGTTTCTACCTCTCCCACCTCCACCTACTTCCCCTGTAGCAGAGTGGAGCAGGCCAATGTTTGCTGACATTTGGAATGTCATTGAATGATCTTATATTCTTATTGAACTGTCAGCTTAGAGAGGACTTGGGGCCCTGCTGCCAGCTCCCTGCAGGAGGTCAGAGCTGTCACTGAGGGACCAGAAGAATACACACACGTGCACACACACATACACATACATAAATATTCATGTGTATGGTCATGTGACTGCATACACCCAAGTGGGCATACCCAAAATTGTTAATAGGTATTCATACATGCATACATGTATACACACCTATTTACATAGTCACCTGCAGAAATATATGGAAATACACAGACACGAACATGTTTATAAAACATATTCATAAAGTTTAAAGACACAAATATACATCTTCACCAATAAACAGACATGCGTGAGTGCCTTCTGTGTTCCAGGTTCTGTGCTACACCCTGAAGATATAACAGAAAAAATGGATATTAAATAATTTTATTGTGTTGTAACACCAAAAAGTTCAGAGCCATGGGATTGTTTCATAAGGGGACCAGACCTAGTTCAGTGGGGCTGGAGGCTAGTTCCCTGAGGAAGGATGGATAGGCTAAGATCTAAAGGACGAGCAGGAATTGGCTGAGCATGTGGCAAGGCCCTGAGGTGAGGAGAAGCCTGGAAGCTTCATTGAACAGAATGGAAGTTCCATGAGAGCAAAGAATTTTTGTCTCTTCTGTTTACTGTTCTTCCCCCATCACTAATTATTATTTGTTGAATGAATGACTGCCGGAAGCATAGTGGATGTGGGGAAGAGAAGGGAGTGACATGAAATGAAACCAGAAGGGGAGGTGTGAGCTTGTAGGTGACACTTCAGATTTTGATCCTTATCCTTAGGGTAAGGGAAGCTATTGAAGGGTACTAAACATAGGAGTTGAAAGGAGACGGGAGAAAGAAGTTGAAAGGAGAAAGGTCCTTGAAATTGGCTCTTTTCAGGAGGGAGGTCCCCTCTTCTCTTATGGTGGGGAAAGAGAAGAAGATGGGTGTACATAGATGCAGGTAGGCTTGTGGATTTGATGATGGCAAGTTGAAGTTGTTTCCATCTTATGGCTTTTCTTTTTCTCTGCGAAGTAGGAGATGAGTCATTTGCTAATAACTAATAGGGGAGAGATGGGATGGTTTGCAGAAAGAGGAAAAGGACTGCTGCAGTTTTAGTACATAGAAATGTGAGCTGACTTGAGAAGTATAGTAGGATTTTAGGCAGCGCTGAGGGTTCGGTTGAGGCTGATGACATTAATTCACAGTGGAACTGCCCTGTTCAGTTGCTTGACTTTTATTTAGCAGAGCTCAACTGCCTGGCTGTGAGCATGCAGAAGGCAGATATTTAGATTCATCCAGGGTGGAAATTTTCTCATGAAGTGTGATGAAAGGAACAAAGGAGTTGAAGATATTGTCAAACAGTGGTTGCCAAGATGGACTACGGGATCTAAGCTGGATGTTGATGGAAGAAAAGACGGCAAGAGGCCCAATGGAAAAAGTAGCTATGTCCTAGTAAGATGAGGAGCAGTTATTTTGGGTGTGATTGAGCATGCCAGATGGAAGGATAACAGAGTATGGTTAGACAGCAGGATATCTGAATTAGTGATTTCAGACCTATAGCAGTTATAGGTGTTGGCAGCTTCCAAAGTGTGCCCATGGGAATGGGCCGCTATGATTGGGTAGAGGAGAATATTATTGTAAATAAGAGATCAAAAAATGGTAGGTCACATGAGACCTCCATAAGGTGAGAATAGGTGGATATATAAAAGGGTACCCATAAAACCCAGAATCATCTTCTGGAGGGTGGGTCCCTTGTAGTACAGGCTTCCCTCCACCCCCCACTACGTGACTGTTCTGGGAACCCATCTGTATTAGTGTACCAGCTGGTGGTGTTGTGAGGAGCTGTGTTCAGCTTCATTGAATTTTTTTTGAAGACTCTTTCAACACATTTGCCCATTCCACAATGAGTGACTTACAAGGGCACCTGCCAACACCGTGCTGAGCATTCAGCAGTTTTTGACCAAAAACAGCCTGACCCACGTGTCCCACCCTCCCTATTCACCCAATCTTGCCCCAAGTGACTTTTTTTTTTTTTTTTTTTTTTTTTTTTTTGCTTCCCTGGATGAAAAAAGTTCTCAAAGGGAAATGTTTTCCCAGTGTGGAAGAGGTGCAACAAAAAATGGCAGAAGCACTAAAAGG